TTTGTGAAAAGAAGCTGATCAAAATGAAGGTAACAAAAATATGTACAAGTTCAAGATTAGGCAGCCTGGTATCTTCCCAGTGCTTCAGAATACTGGCGCAATCACCATGTTTAGTGAGACATTATTAACCTCAAGCCCAGGACACTTTGCCAACCTTTGTCCGGTTCTCTCTGCTCTAATTATTGTTCCTCTTGTGTTTCTTGTACCTTATTTCCAGATGAGGATGTCCTGGACACCTGGTTCTCCTCTGGTCTGTTTCCTTTCTCCATTTTTGGGTGGCCGAATCCTGTAAGTATAATGACTTCACTTCAGAGTAGGGCTGTAAGGATGGGTGAACTGATGTTCATTGGCAATTGTTCTACTCCAAATCTCACCCTCCTTTTCTGATTCTGATTTTAAGAATGAAGACCTCCATGTTTTTTATCCTGGGACACTCCTGGAGACTGGACATGACATTCTCTTCTTCTGGGTGGCCCGTATGGTTATGTTGGGCCTAAAGCTTACAGGGAAGCTGCCCTTCAGAGAGGTGAGAATGAGCGCTCGTTGTTTCTTTCCCTGGATCTCCTGACAGTATTTCCTCCTCAAGCCTTTTTTGACCATCATAGCTGTCGCTGGTCAGCAAAGTCTGTAGGAGGGTTGAATGAAAAGTAATGCCTCCACCTTCATTGCTTGGGTTTGGATGGGAATATTTTAATAAATTAAACGCAGAAATAATCCCTCGAATGTGCTCTTTAACTACCACTATTCACTTTTCCACATAATCACCAGACAATTGGATACATTTCTGCCAACAATGAACAAGTTTTCTGAAGCTGTCACAGAAGAAGTTGACACTGTTTCCACAGCCAATTCTCTCAACATACAGTTCTTTCAGAGGCGACCCAAGGCGGTTCACAGTTGGCAACAATTCGATGCCATAACAATGATCAAAATACAGTAAAAACAATTATAAAAACAATTCAACATTTAAAATGTAATATAAAATAAACAATAATGTCTATAAAAACAAAATCCTTGGCATCTCCTTACTAAAATCATTGTCCAATTGCATCGTCGCTCGTTCCATATATTCGTTTCCGTCTAATGCTCCAGTAGTAAAAGCTTGCTCAAAGAGCCAGGTCTTAACCATTTTGCGGAATGTTAGAAGGGAGAGAGCTGATCTTATATCCCTGGCAAGGGAGTTCCATAGCTGAGGGGCCACCACTGAGAGGGCCTATCTCTTGTCCCTGCCAAACGCATCTGTGAGGAAGGCGGGATCGAGAGCAGGGCCTCCTCAGACCATCTTAAAATCCTAGATGGTTCATAAGTAGAAATATGTTCGGATAGGTAAGCCGGACCGGAACCGCTTAGGGCTAAAGCCAGCACTTTGAATTGTGCCCAGTAGCAGACTGGCAGTCAGTGGAGCTGGTGCAACAGAGGAGTTGTGTGCTCCCTGAGTGCTGCTCCTGTTAGTAAACTAGCTGCCGCTCATTGGATCATTTGAAACTTCTGGCCAGTCTTCAAAGGCAACCCCACGTAGAGAGCATTGCAGTAGTCTATACAAGATGTAACCAGAGCCTGGATTACCGTGGCCAAGTCAGACTTCCCAAGGTACGGGCGCAGCTGGCGCACAAGTTTTAACTGTGCAAATGCTCCGCTGGTCACATTTGCATGATTTCGAACTGCTAGGTTGACAAAAGCTGGGGCTAACAGCAAGAGTTCACCCAGCTCCCCGGATTCGAACCACTAAAGTTTCAGTCAGTAAGTTCAGCAGCTCAGTGGTTTAACCCGCTGCACCACCAGAGGGCCCGAAATAGAAAATGACAAAAAAAAAAATAGCAGGAGAGAAACTGAAGATCTGCCATGCAGTTAATGGCTTAAGTCACAAACTTTCCTTTATTGTGATGTGTGGTCTTGTCAGTTGCCTATTCCTAGCATTTCTCTTACTTTTCACGTTTTTTTTCCCCAAGGTTTACCTTCATGCTGTTGTTCGGGATGCTCATGGCAGGAAGATGAGCAAATCCCTGGGAAATGTGATCGATCCGTTGGACGTTATCACTGGCATCACCCTGGAGGTGACCTATCATGTTTTCAGCACGTGAGGCCAAGTGTTTATTTGGCAGGGTTGCAATAGACTTCAGTGATGTAATGCATCGTTACGATAGGCCTGTTGTTATGCAAGATCATTGAATGAGGTATCCCTTTTATGTGAATAGCTTCCAATACCTGTCCTGAGTTGCCTTTCAGAAAGTGCCTTAATACAATGTTGAAAGTAAAAGAAAAATGCTTTACTTCAGCAGGCACAAAGGATAAGCA